GGAAAATATTTTTGGCTATGACATATTTGATCAGGGTCTAATCTCTAAAATCTACAAGATACTGTAAAACCTCAACAACAAAAAGACAAATCACTCAATTAAAAAATGGGCAAAGGATATGAACAGGCATTTCGCCAAAGACATTCAGGCAGCTAACAGATACATGAGGAAATGCTCACGATCATTAGCCATTAGAGAAATGCAAATCAAAACTACAATGAGATACCATCTCACCCCAATAAGGCTAGTATTAATCCAAAAAGTACAAAATAATAAATGTTGGAGAGGTTGTGGAGCAACTGGAACACTTATGCACTGCTGGCGGGAATGTAAAATGGTACAACCACTTTGGAAATTGATTTGGCACTTCTTTAAAAAGCTAGAAATAGAAGTATTATACGATCCAGCAATCCTGCTCCTTGGAACGTATCCTAGAGAAATAAAAGCAGTAACACGAATAGATATATGCACACCGGTGTTCACTGCAGCACTGTTCACAATAGCAAAAAGATGGGAACAACCTAGGTGCCCATCCATGGACAAATGGATAAACAAATTATAGTATATTCACACACTGGAATACTACACAATGATAAAGCATAATGATGAATCCGGGAAACATCTCACAACATGGATGAATGAATCTGGAAGGTATTATGCTGAGTTCAATTAGTCGCGAAAGGTTAAATATCGTATGAGATCACTATTATAAGAACTCAAGAAAAGGTTTAAACACAGAAGAAAACATTCTTTGATGGTTATGAGGGTGGAGAGGGAGGGAGAGGGGTATTCACTAACTAGATAGTAGACAAGAATTATCTTAGGTGAAGGGGAAGGACAACACATACTACAGGGGAAGTCAGCACAACTGGACTAAACCAAAAGCTAAGAAGTTCCCTGAATACAACCAAACACTTCGAGGGACAAAGTAGCAGGGGTGGGGTTTGGGGGACCATGGTTTCAAGGGACATCTAGGTCAACTGGCATAACAAAGTTCATTAAGAAAATGTTCTGCATCCCACTTTGGTGAGTGGCATCTGGGGTCTTAAAAGCTTGTGAGCAGCCATCTAAGATACATTAATTGGTCCCAATCCACCTGGTGCAAAGGAGAATGAAGAACACCAAAGACACAATATTAGCCCAAGAGGCAGAAAGGGCCACATAAACCAGAGACTCCATCAGCCTGAGACCAGAAGAACTACATGGTGCCCAGCTACCACCAATGACCACCGTGATAGGGAACACAACAGAAAGTTCCAGATGGAGCAGGAGAAATGTGGGGTGCAGAACTCAAATTCTAGTAAAACGACGAGACTCAGTGGTCTGACTGAGACTGGAGGAACACCAGAAGACACGGCCCCCAGACTGTCTGTTAGCCCAGAACTGAAACCATTCCCGAAGCCAACTTTTCAGACAAAGGTTAGACTGGACAATAAGATATAAAATTATACTGGTGAAGTGTGTGCCTCTTAGTTCAAGTAGATACATGAGACTACATGGGAAGCTCTGGTCTAGAGGCAAGATGAGAAGGCAGAAAGGGACAGGAGCTGATTGAATGAACGGACATGGGAAATCTGGGGTGGAAAGGAGTGTGCTGACGTATTAGAGGGAGAGCAACTGGAGTCACATAACAATGTGTGTATAAATTTTTGTATGAGAAACTAACTTGAACTGTAAACTTTCACTTAAAACACAATAAAAAAAATAATCTCCACAAAAACCTGATATACGTAAATCACTTAGGCTGCCTCGTAGTAACTAATATCTTGAGAGTGCTTGTTATTATGATTAAATTCAAAGAGGGGCAAGCCAGAAGCAAATATGCTAAAACGGTAAGAAATAAAAGAGAAAAGGTGGAACTACAATAGTAATATGTGATTTAGTATAAAGACAAAAATAGCCTGACAACCTTCAACAGCAACTTTAATATAGTAAGTTATAATACTGACCTTATTTCCCTTAATTTTTACATTCAGAGTTTGTAAATAGTATTAAAATAAAACTTTTCATAAGAGCTTCTCTAACAGTGCTCATTAATACAAGGAAGAAAAGTGCACTAAGTTTTCAAAATGTAACTCTTTATTTCAAGGTTGCCAGTCTGAACTGAGTCCTATCAACAGAGTTAATCGTAGTGGGTTACTTTATGGCTTCTGTAAAACTTGTAGAGAACAGGTGTCCACATCTGAAAAGTCTTGACCACAACTGACTCCCTTGTTGGAGCTGCTATAGGAAAGTGTTGAAAGGACCGTTGTAAGATTTTCTATACATGAAGCACCAGAGGGCTAGGAAATACTTGTACAATGCATAATAGGGAGCATTAAAAGGCCACCCAGGCACTTGCTTAAATTACCACTTTTTGTGCTGACCAAATAGATGACCCTTGATCTAAAAGTCAGTAAATTCTAGTTTTGACAGAGAAGAAAATTCAGCTACTGAGAAACTTTTAATCTGGGATTCTTTTAGAATATTATCTCTCAGCAGGCAGTGTTTCAGTCTTGGAGTTATTAGATACAGTGTTAGAACTAGTCAATTCCTCAGCTAGTTCATAAAAAGGATAGAAAAGTCAAAACTCAAGCTAAGCTTAATGAATAAAATCATAAATTGCAATTTGAATAGAAAATGAAAAATTATGGACTGAGATTATGTTTGTTGGTGTTTAAAGTACACACAGAGGATGTCTATTGGCTTCCTTTAAATAAATAGCTCTCAAGTACAGATACTTTGATTTATAGTTTAGCTACAAAATGTCAAACAAATCTACATATTGTGTAAAACTGAGTTCTTTATACTTTAAAACAGATTTCTTATTACAAAATGTGAAGGTCATTTTACATAACTCCATGTGAAAATTTTAGGTTAAGGTCAAGCTTAAGGTCCATTGATCAAGAGTAGAATGCAGCAAGTCAAAGGTTATTCTCTTGGCTTTGAAACTGACCACAAGTGAGAAATTACTTAACCTATAGAGTCTCGTTTTTCTTCTCTAAATTAAATAAAAATGTTTTATGTATGAACAGTAACTTTTCTGATAAATCTGATTTTATTATTATTATTTTTGTAAAAGTATGCATGAAATAAAGGCTGAAGAGAAGGCTATTACATGCTGAGTGACTAACAGTTCAGAATAGGCGAACAATTTCAAAGCAGAGACACGGAAACTAAATTCACATAGTTCTTAATTAGGAAGTGGCAGCGGATGCTTTTGGAACAGAACAATTTTCACCTTCAAAACCCAGAAATATTAAAACAATCTGAAGGACCAGAAAATAAGAGTGCTTAAAATTATTAAAGAGATAAAAAGAAGAGTATCCATGATGAACACATTTGGACATAATGCATAAGGAACAGATGATTTGGAAAAGAACCAAATACAACTAGTAGAAATGAAAAATACGCATAACGAATCCTTTAAAGAATATAGACAATGTCCGTGAGAGGATTTAGAGACTGAAAAACCAATTACTGGGAATGTTATTAAAGGGATTTATCCAAGAGTATAGATTCCTCCTGGTTTCTTTTCTTTTCCCATCTCCTGATTTTAATATCGTGTTAATAAATAATTCAAATGAAGTAAAAAACCAAGTTCAAAACCTAAATAAGCTACAAAGGCCCATCCTCCACTTTCCTTCACCGGATGACCACAGCTGTTTGTCTTGATCTTCATTTCCAGGTATGAAGAATCAATAAGAATCTGCTACATTAATAGTAAGCTGAAAATCACACACAGCATGGGACGGAAGCATCTCTCCTTGGGAAAACAATCATAAATGAACTTTTTCAAGTGATTTGGGCTTTTAGGAAATATATGCTTAAGAATAAGCATTCAGTTACAAAAAGAACAGGTGAGTTTAGAGTTTTAATAGGTATTTCTCACATCATTAAACTAAGGAGAGGCCAAAAAGTAAACTCATGTTTCTTAAACGTAAAGTTTACAATGTTTCTTAAATGTAAAGTTTACATCTATCTTCAACTATGTTTCTTAAACGTAAAGTTTACATCTATCTTCAACTATGCTATAAAAAGCTTAACAGAAAATAAGTGTTTCAAATGTTCAGAGGAAAAAAACTCAAAGGGTTTTCATGCTGAAATAAAAGTGGCATGGCATAGGGGGAAAAAATTGGACCTGGATTCAAAAGTTGAAAAATGCTATCACAGCACTGCTACTTTTTAGACATCTGTAAGTATCTATTAATATGTACTTTGTTTACTTACCAGGATGATTATGACATAGGGAAATCATATATATATGAAACACAACATATAAAAACACTGCATTATGAATAGCTATCAAAATATAAGGCAAATATTTTATCTATGTAACAGGCAAAACTTGAAAAGGTTTGAAGGTGGTTATACTCTGGAGAAATGGAAGATGAGGGAGTTGAGCACACATAAACAAAACCATGGAGACAGAAGGGGGCTTGGTATATTTAAGAGAAATTAAAACTATAGGTCTGGCTCCTGTGGAGCGATTACATTGGGAAACAGTGGTAAGAAGGGTGAAAAGCCAGGCTTAGACCAGATTATGGAGGGCCATCTAGTAGCTACCTGGTAGAACACAGGGACTTCTCCTCTAAGCAAGCTGGAGCTGGGAGATCCTCCATTTTCCCATACCTTAGCAGGCAGGGTTTGGGCACATGACCAAGGCTCAACTACTTGGACATTCTCACCCAGGACTTTGAATCTCAAGGTAATGAAGCAAAGTTTCCGGGGCAGTTTGGAAATTATTTGTGGTTGCTGTGGAAGCATCAAGTCCCAGAGGCACCTAGAATCAGGGTCCGAATTAGATTCTTCTGAGGCATTACTCTGGCTTTTGTTCCTGCCTGTTTCCAGAATCTTATTCTCCCACCTTTCTGTTAGTTCTGTGGCCTACCCTATAACCTCCCAATACCTTCTTCTTCTGCCCATACTGACCAGAGTTGGTTTGTTGTTTGGAACCAAAATTCTTAAATGAATTATATACAATTTGTAAAACTGACAATATATCGAAAATTTATACCTACCTGGCACTTTCATACTGTTTCACAGTCATTAAGGTATCTTCAATAGTTTTATTTACCAAAGTGTTCACACTAGCAATGAAAAAATTAATGGCTCCAAGAAGAGTCTCTCCATTTTTAGCCAGCAGCTTCTGGGTATCTGCATTGTAGCCAAATTCTTCCTAAAACAAAGAACTCGCCTTAACTTATTCAGTAACAAATTAGCAAACTTGATTAAAAAACATCTTCAATTTATCACTAGTGGGAAAATATTTGATTTAGAAATACAGCTATAGAAGTTTTACTTTTCCTTTCAATATTTAAATACATATAAGAATTTATATCATAACTAGCTATTTAATTACTTTTAAAAATCTAGTAAACCAAAAATTTTATTAGCTGAGACATACAGATAAAATCTGAATAATTAAAAAAGATAAACTACTTTGCACTAGAAAAAATATTTTCATTTCTATTATTCTATAAGCACAGCTGTTAAGAAGAAAAATATAGCAGATTATTAATCACAAAAACAACTATAACTTTCACAACCAAATTAGGTAACAATTGGCTAAAACTTTCAAACATAAAATAGATCACAATTTTTTGTGTTTTAACTGAATCGCCTTAGAGTATAAACATTAACAAAGCACATTTCTTTGTAAATTTAGTGACCCGTAGTTGACTCCCGAGCTAAATTTTATACAGGCACACAGCTGAGGAAGGATCACTCAACACCAGCTCAAGTTCATTCTTTTTGAATAAACTGAGTCTTGCTCAGCAAACATTACACACCGCTCCTTCAGACATGGCAAGAACTAACCCTAAATTTCCACCAGTGAAAGCTTTGTAGTTCAAGTTTGATTAATTACCAGATAAATCATGAACACATGTGACCAATTAAAAAATGATCAGATTTTACTGTAAGATGTTATCATTCAATTTGAGAAATCTGGTATAATGAACTTCTCAATCTCAGCTGAAAAAATAATATTAAATTAACTAGAATCTTAGAAGATGCAAATTTAATGTTACTGCTGTAGCTATAATTAAATTTCTAGATGATAAAGTATCAATAATTTAATCAAAAGCAGAAAACTAAAATTATCCTTATTATGCTGAAAGCATTTTCCATTTAAGAACGGTCCATGTAACACTTTACTCTGGACTCAATATTCACTCTGGACTCAATCTTCAAAATTTTATATCTTGACTTCCAAATACTTCCGAATCTTGACTTACATAAAAAAGAAAATCAATCTGTCTATCAACTAAAATGAGAGGCAGAACAGGTGAAGATTTTCAGCACCAAATTTCTACATGCTGAATTACCTTACGGAAAATACAATAGTGCAGGAGGAAGCATTTTTACAGCTTTCAGAGAAGTCAACAGAACATATTACAATTATACTTATTTCATTTGGTATTTACGAACAGTTCACAGGCAAAATAAAGACTGAATAAACAAGAATAAAAATACAAAAGTTGGATTTGATATAAACACCATAGTTTATAAAATGTAAGGAAACCTTTTCTACTCACTTTTTAACAAAGCATATATCATTACACCACATCCCTGTAATACTGTGTTCATTTCTAAAGTTCTAAATATCCACAATTCCACATTATTAACTTTGAAAATGCCAAAATTTAACCACAGGGAGATTTAGGCAACTTAGAAGGCTGCTCTTTTTCTAAAAAACAAAACAAAAACCAACTAGAGTATAGTAAGATGAAATAGCAGTACACTGAAATCACACAGCAGAATAAGGAGTCTTATATTTATAAATGAGAAAAACAGGCTTAAACTCAAGGCAGACAAGAAGAGTACACTGACACTGTTCTGTTTCATGAGCATAAATCTCACCTATAATGCTGGGAAGGAAATGTGTATAGCACTTAAGATGTTACTGTGTTATTCGAAAACTCAACTGGCTAGAATAAAAGGACTTTTCTCTTTTACCGTATATAAAATAAAAAAGCCAAACCTGTTGCTGTTGAGTCAATTCTGACTCATAGTGACCCTATAGGGCAGAAAAGAACTGCCCCATAGGGTTTCCAAGGAGCAGCTGGTGGATTTGAACTGCCGACCTCTTGGTTAGCAGCCATAGCTCTTAATCACTGTGCCACCAGGGCTCCATATGGTAAAGTAAAAAAGATAAAGAGTAGTAAAAGAACATAAAAAAATTTGGACACTAGTTAGTAAGAAATGAATATACACATATATATGCATTAAATATATAAATTATATACAAATATATATAATTGATGCTGAAAATAAAATATGACTCCTAAAACTTATTTTTGGTTAAGATGATAATTATTTTAGAAAGCACAGTTGGTTAGGGGTGTTCTACACATTATTAGCAATTGTTTTAGTGATTACAAATAAACTAAACATAAAATAATCAAAAGGTATACATAACAAAGGGTATACATTTCAAGTTGTTTGAAAAGAACAAGGGGGTACTCGTGGTTTAAAATCAGGAAACATATGCGGCAGGCTTGTATCCTTTCACCATACTTATTCAATCTGTATGCTGAGCAAATAATCCGAGAAGCTGGACTACATGAAGAAGACTGTGGCATTAGGACTGGAGGAAGACTCATTAACAACCCACGATACACAGATGACAAAACCTTTCTTGCGGAAAATGAAGAGGACTTGAGACACTTACTGATGAAGATCAAAGACTACAGCCTCCAGTTCGGATTACACCTCAACATAAAACAAAAACCCTCACAACTGGACCAATAATCAACAACATGATAAACAGAGAAAATAACTTAAGTTGTCAAGGATTTCATTTTACTTGGATCCATAATCAACGCCCATGGAAGCAGCACTCAAGAAATCAAACTACATATTGCACTGGGCAAAACTGCTGCAAAAGACCTCTTGAAAGTATTAAAAAGCAAAGATCATTTTGAGGACTAAGATGCACCTGACCCAAGCCATGGTATTTTTAATCTCCTCATATACACGAGAAAGCTGGACAATGAATAAAGAAAATTGAAGAAGAATTGATGTCTTTGAATTATGGTGTTGGTGAAGAATACTGAATATACCATGGACTGCCAGAAGAATGAATAAATCTGTCTTGGAAGAAGTACAACCAGAATGCTCCTTAGAAGTGAGGATGGTGAGATTTCGTCTCATGTACTTTGGACATGTTATCAAGAGGGATCTGGAGAAGGACGTCATGTTGGGTAAAGCAGAGGGTCAGCAAAAAAGAGGAAGACCCTCAACAAGATGGACTGACACAGTGGCTGCAACAATGGGCTCAAACACAGCAATGATTGTGAGGATGACACAGGACTGGCCAGTGTTTTGTTGTACATAGGGTTGCTATGACTCAGAACTGATTCCATGATGCTTAACAACAACAAAAACATACATATCAAGGACAGGGTTATAGTTCTAATCTGCTATTGGAGAAGGAAGGCCAAGACAATTCTCTGATCTAAAAATCTGGCTGCTTTATATATAGAGTCAAGTGTCAAAACATTTGGATTTTTTTTCCTCTTTAGGAGTTCCTACATCACTTACATTGCTTGCCAGATACAAATTTACCTAATGTAAATGACTATGATTTTCTATTTATACATTATGAACAAATAATGGAAGCATCTGATTGGATCTAAAATATCAAGTTTTAGTAATACAAATTACCTAACTAGTAATGAATGGGTTATCTTACACAATAATAATACAGAGCAGTAAAAAACTAGAATTATAAGTACTAGTTAACAATTTATAACAATATGGTTTGAGTGAACTTTCCTAATCTTGATGTAGATGTCACCCTCTAGATTGAGAAAATAGAATGTGATTACGGTTATATGGTATAACAGAACTAGGAGTGAGGAGGCATGTGATAAAATGGCAAAAGTCTAGGTTTAGAATTTATAGGTTTGCGTTCAAATCTTGATTTTGCCACTGACTGGATCTGTGACTTTCATAAATTACTCAAATTCTTTGTACCTCAATTTTCTTAGTAACAAAATGAAGATAATTCCCTTGTAGACTTGACAGGACATGTAACTGGATAACCTATATAAAGTTTCTAACAGATACCAGGCACTCATTAAAAGATAATTTCTCCTTTTAAGAGATCTGCTTTTTTACTGCTGGGTGTTAACTGTTCCTCTACAAAATTAAGGAATTAGACTAATTTTCAAATTCTTCCTCAATTCCCAAGTGCCACAAGCCCAACAATAGCTATCATAACCATCATCATGTATTCAGTGCCACTATGTGCCAGGCACTGTGCCATTTCCCATGGATCTCAGTTAATATGGCAATAGTGGAAGGCAGTAGACCCCACCTCCTTACCACTTCTACAAACTTTACCTCAAAAATGGTCATGGAAATTTCAGAAAAGTAAATTCACTGGACAGTGGGGAGGGGAGGCAAGAGGAGGAAGACTCTAAACAGTCAAAATAAGGAAGAGGTCAAGTTAGTGTGCAGCCTCAAATTGCATGGAGGTTAATTAAGTGCAGGGCACTGGAGCAAGACACCTTTAGTTAAGAGTTACAGTTCAACCACTTACTACTTATATGGCCTTGTGAACACTTCTTAATACTCAGTAGACCAGGAAAAACAGTCATTACCATTTACCATCTGGCTCCAATGGACTTTTCTATATTTTGTATTTTTAAGTAATTTTATAACAATTTACAGAGGAATAAAGGAAAAGTGAAGAATACCTGTATTAGAAATGTTAACAAGAATTTAAACATAACAAGGCCAAATTTTTACTCCATATTTTCCTGGTTTTGAAGTTATATATACTCGAAACAGGCAATGTCCTTTGAATACAACTAACTGTTCATCAACTGTCATGTAAGAACCTAGAAAATGGCAAAGTACTTGAATAGATACTTCTCCAAAAATATACAAATGGCCAATAAGGACATGAAAAGCTGCTTGACATCATCAGTCATCCGGGAAATACAAATCAAAACCACAACGAGATACCACTTCACACTAAGATGACTATAATAAAAGACAACAATTGTTGGTGAGGATATGGAGAAACTGGAACCCTCATACATTGCTGGTGGGAATGCAAAATAGTTAGGCCACACTGGAAAACAATGTAACAGTTTCCCAAAATGTTGTACATAGAATTACTATTGACTCAACAATTCCACTCCTACAAATACACTTAAGAGAAATGAAAATATATGTCCATACAAAAATATGTACAGGAATGATCACAGCAGCATTATTTATAATATCCAAAAAGCAGAAACAAATAAAACTCCATCAAATGATTAATGAATAAATAAAATCTGGTATATCCATATGGTGGAATATTATTCGGTTAAAAAAAGGAATGAAGTACTAATACATGTTACAACATATCTTAAGTGAAAGGAGCCAGACACAAAAGATCACATATGACATGATTCCATTTATACAAAATATCCAGAATAGGCAAATCAACAGCGACATAAAGTAGATGAGTGGTTGCCAGGGGCTGGGGGGCGATGCATAGGACGAAACTGCTAATGGGTATGGGGGTTTCTTTTCGGGGTGATGAATATGTTCTGGAATTAGATAGTGGTGACCATACTAAGCAGTAAAAAAGCAAATCTCCTGAAGGGGACAAAAAATTACCTTTTAATGAATGCCTATTTTCTTAATTGTACACTTCACAAGGGTGAACTTTATGGTACGTGCAGTATATCTCAATAAAGCTATTATTAAAAATAAAGAACCTGGAATACATTCTTCTAAATACTGATTCTAGATTTCAAATACATCTTTAACTTATCAATACTTCTGGATCTTGTTATACTCATATCATCAAAATGGAACTTTTGAAAACTGTGACAGCTCATAATTTTGTTGAAAAGAAGATAGGTGTATTCTTTGTTGCACAATTTTCATTCTTAGATTTACAAACACCAGTTAGAACGTTCATTCCAATGAAATCTTTTCGACATTATCTATTTTCTTCAACTCATCTTTGTATACACTCCTGCCCTCAGCATTTGTCCACTAATAAACCCTATCAAGTACATTTTGGTGCACAAACACCATAAAAATGATGAAAGAATATATCACATGTCCTTTCAGCAAAATAATATGATTCAGGTTCTTATTAAAAAAAAACTGCAAGATGGAGTCATTCCTGTTGAATGACGAAATGGATAAAAAACACCGTGTCTCCTTTTTGTTCTTAAAAATATATTGTTAACTTACTGATTCTTGAATTTAAGGAAATTCATCTAAGATATCATCATCTGAAGACTCAGAGTCTAAGATGTCACATGTATTATTGATTATCCCATCATCAGAGTCTACAGTGCTGTCTCTTTGAAGTCATCTTCTGATTTACCTAGTGAGTAACGTGTAATTTCTTACTCTGTTACTGTCTTCTCTTTGCCATTATGGGCAGAAACTGAAGAATTCTAAATTCTCAACCGTGTTACATGAACATTACAAAAAAAAAAAAAAAAGACTACGAAGATGGTTTCTTTTGCACATAATTGCATGATAAAGAGTTTTATTCTATAAAAAAAAACAAGCAAATGTTCTCATTGAAAGACATCTAAGAAAGAATAAAACTCATGAAATACCACGCTTTGCAGAGGGTTAGAAGTGCTCAAACAAGAAATTAAAAAATTAACAGTGAGTACAATGGACTTGAATCCCGAGGGTTAACCTCTCAATCTATAAAACAAGGCAGGTTGAGTACTCTTTTTATTTCTCTCTTATCAAGCTCCCTTTCCCTGAAACTGACATCTTTTCTAGAGTTGTGAGGGCCATGAACAATCTTGTCAGCATAGGATTCTGGGAGACAGCTAGAGTACCTACCGAGCAAGTGATCTGGGCCAAGAGAAAACATACCAAATGCCTGACTTCATGGTATCGTCAGTTGAAACCCATTAACTAGTACAAAAACAACCCCATCCGTCATAGATAAGACATGTTTTTTTCCTCGTTCCCCTCTACATATACTTGCAAGTATATAAACCCACACCCCACACTGCTCTGCATGGACCTCTACTTGGGTGATTCGATGAAGCATCTGTCGCGAGAATCTTGGTGTCAACCTGTCTGTAAGTTCCCTATCAAAGCCATGTCTGATCAACCTGGCTTTTTCTGCCTCTTTTTTCAGAATTCGACCTGTGCCCCAGGAGCCACTCCTGCCACTGGTCTGGCGGGGTGCGACAAGGGTCCACTGGATCACTATCTTGGCAGGAGTTAAGTTTGGCCTTCTTAAAAATTATAAGAAATGTCTTAAAAGAACACCTCAAAATTCCAATCTTAAGAGTTCACCAAATCATAAATGTAACTAATTATCTCTTAGATAGTCTATTACAATTTCCCCACTAATAGCTAATGAAAATAATCTTACATGGAGTTCTAGTGACTTCAAACTCAGGTCAGCAAATGCATCTCCAAGTTGCCTTTGGGTATGCACCATCTGGAAAAGCTGGGTAGACAATGTCTGGGCCAGTCTTAGAATATTTTCGTATTTTTTCTTGTTATCTCTTAATATATCAATCTGAGCTTCCAGTTCAAGGTCCACAGTTCTTGAGCCACGGCCTAGCTTCTCAGAGATAATTTGTCGAGTGCACTAAAAGTGGAAAGATGTACTTTGTTTAGGGAGGAAAAAAGAACAAAGGGAAAAATAATACAATCCAAAAGTACACGTTAGCGGATGCAGCACACATCATTTTTTGGCTTCAACAATCTAGCCTAACAAACTGAAAATTGCCTGCTACCTTAGAAGTTCATCAGGACTCAGAAAGAAAATTTATTAGACATGTCTAAACTATTAGTAATCAGAGTGAGTTTAAAACTTGTCTAGCTAATTTATACGCTGCCAGATGACATCTCTCACATAATCATATTTTAAGCCTAGCGTACTCAGGTAGATTATTTAAAACAACAGGGATATTAGGCATTGATTTAGGAACAATATTGGACTGTCTTTTTCCTTCTCTTTTCCCTTTAAATAATTTGGATGTATGTGTTGAGGGGGGTGAAGAGAAGAGAGAGGGGGAAAAAGAAGGAAGGCAAGGAGAGGGAAAGAAAGCGAAAGGAGAGAAGGAGAAAGAGGGAAAGAAAGTAGAAGAGAGGGGAAAAGAGATTGATTTTGATTGGTGAGATATTTCTGAAGTTTTTTTTTTAACCTTTACCCAGACAGCATGCTATTAAATTGTTATTCTAGTGTGCTCCAAAAATAGCGGTACAGGAACCTGCAATTTTTATAAAGTACCTAATTTCAGAACTTGTAGAATTAAGTTTTCTAGTAATAATTTTTGTTGGAAAAAAAATTATAAGAAACTTTGTCACTCAAGAATGTATTTCAAGGGAAACCAGATAGAACATTAACAGACTCAACACATCATTGAAAGTTATCAAATATATTCTAGAAAAGTAGTAAATAAGTAATTTGGAGATATTGCCAATTGCAATTTTTTAAAAAGTTAGCAATTTTTTAAATATTGTCTTTTAAAGTTTTGGCTACAGAATTAATATTAGTTGTAAAATTAAAATAATGCAGTATTATATAAAATAATCTTCAATTTCACTAAATAGTAGAAGGCTACTATTTAGTTTGATGGCTATTCTAGACTTTTCTTTACATATAAAACCATCAAATATGTTTTCAAAGTAAACATGACATCATGCTATGCTATACATATCCTACATTTTTTTTGTCTGAGCAAACTATCTTGACACTTTTACTTGTCAATACACATAAATCTATACTTATCTTTTTAAAGTTAGCATATTGCATACTACTCATACATTTTTCAGTTTAAAATGGAAACAATTCCCTGACACACAACTCTAATCTCATCCATCAAGGCTCTTTATGAACGAATATTTCTTACAGAGGAGTCCTCTTTTAAAAACTAGAGAAATTCTTAACACTATAGAAAATGACAGGATGGGTGAGAGGCCAAAGCCACAGAAGGAGGACAAAACTAAGTACTATAGAAAATATACAAACAAACACTCCTGGGAGATGAAAAGCACATCAACAGAAAAGTTTAGCAGGACATATTGTGATTTTAATGAGAAAAACATCAGCAAGAAACAATGTCTGAAATAATAACAAGATACGTCATTCATTCCCAGACTTTGCATCCACACAGGATTTTCCCTATGCAATATTATCAGAGATGTTTACTCCAAGTACCTGCCACAGCAACTCAGATGTAATAATCTATTACAAAGTTAAAAAGCCAGAATTCATTGAAGGACCTTTGCAGACTGGGTAAAATGAAAGAAACGTCTACTGCTGTCTGAATGGCCATTTATTCACAGAAATAATGATTCAAGGCAGGCAGTAGGGTCAAAGTTTTAATAAGAAAATTTTTTTGTTTCCAGGAAGCCAAGGAAGGAGAAAAGCAAGGGGATACTGACTGTGAGGTGTTATGGATTGGATTGTGTCCCCTCAAAATATGTGTTGGAATCCTAACTTACACCTGTGTATGTAATCCTGTCTGGAAATAAGGTTTTCTCTGTTAACGAGGCCATATCAGTGTAGGGTGTGTTTTAAACCTATTCACTTCTGAGACATAAAAAGAGCAGATCAGACACAGAAGCAAGCACAAACTGAGGAAGACAGAAGTACCTGTGAGGATCCACAAGGAGTGGAGGAACCTTAGGGTTACAGAAGCTGAGGCAAGGACTTCCCCAGGGCAGACAGAGAGCACCTTCCTCCAGAGCTGGTACCTGAACTCAGACTTCTAGCCTCCCAAACTGTGAGGAAAGGGGCCCTGGTGGCACTAGGCTGCTAATGGAAATGGTCCTTGGTTAGAACCCACCAGCTGCTCTGAGGGAGAAAGATGTGGCAGTCTGCTTCTGTGAAGATTTACAGCCTTGGAAACCCTACAGTTCTGCTCTGTCCTATAGGGTCTCTATGAGTTGGAATCAACTTGATGGCATATAACAACCACAACAACAAACTGTGAGGAAATAAATTTCTGTTCTTTAAAAATCACCCACTTGTGGTATTTTTGTGGAAGCAGCACTAAGAAACTAAGAGATTAGACATATTCAGATAAATCTGGATACTTGAAACAAGTTTTGAAACTGAATTTACAGAGCTTGTAATTCCAATACTGATAATTACATATTCTTAAAGAAAATCTAAACCATCTGGACATAGTGCTTCAGATTGCCAACAAGCAGCTTTGTAAACAAAGTTGTACTGAGAAGAAACAAAGTTGCTAGCCATTTTCCCACTCATCAGGGACCCCAGAGCAAGTGTTTCACAGGATGCCCGAAGGCGAGATTTTATTTAAATTGCTTCCTAGTGTCTACTGAAGTTGAAATACAAAACATATGCTGGAGATTAGCATACATTATAAGCAAATTAAAATTAAAATGGAAGAAGATTAAGTACTTCAATTCTCTCCTTCAGTGTTCTTAAAAATGAAAATGACTTACAAAGAGCTGATGGTGCTGCTGTTGTTTTTCATACTTATAAATTAAGAATTCATTTTTGAAGACAATAGGACCAAATGAAGGAGTCCTGGTGGTGTAACGGTTAAGCGCTCAGCTGTTAACCAAAATCTGGGCAGTTTGAACCCACCAGCGGCTCTGCAGGAAAAAGACTTGGCGATCTACTCATAAAGATTACAGCATAGAAAACCCTATGGAGCAGTTCTACTCTGTCACATGGGGTTGCTTTGAGTCCAAAATCAACTCGGTGACACCTAACAACAACAAAGATCAAATGAAGCAAAGTTAAAAGAGAAGGGGAAGCTCAAATAAATCACCACCCTATATAGATAACTAACTTAAGGAAGGGTAGTTGAAACAAAGTGACAAAGAGTGGACAAAATACAATAAATCACCATGATACTGAGTCATGAATTTACAAGATAGTTACTGATAGCACCAAGATAATGCCAAAAAGTGAATAAAGATATTTAAGTATCAGGAAAGGAATAATTCATAACAACTCACAGATATTAAAAGGGTTATTTAAAAAAATTTATTGTGCTGTAGGTGAAAGTTTACGGTACAAATTATTTTCTCATTCAAAAATTTATACACAGATTGTTTTGTGACGCTGGTTGCAATCCCTGCACTGTGTCGGCACTCTTCTCTTTTCCCTTTCCATCCCGGGTTCCTCGTGTTTATTCCTCCAGTTTTCCTGTCCCTTCCTTTCTTCTCTTCTTTGCTTTTGGGCAGGTGTTGCCGATTTGGTCTCGTATAAGTGATTGAACTAAGAAGCATGTTCCTCACGTGTGTTGCTGTTTGTTTTATATGCCTATCTAATCTTTGGCTGAAAGGTGGACTTTGGGAGTGGTTTTAGTTCTGAGTTAGCAGGGTGTCCAGTGGCCACAGTCTCAGGGGTTTCCCAAGTCTCTGTCAGACCAGTATTTGTCCTTTTGTGATTGACTTATTTCACTCAGCATAATGCCCTCCAGATTCATTCATGTTGTGAGATGTTTCAAGGATTCATCATTATTTATCATTGCACAGTATTCCCTTGTGTGTATGTATCATAATTTGTTTATCCATTCATCTGCTGATGGGCACTTGTTTCCATCTTTTTGCTATTGTGAACAATGCTGCAATGAGTATGAATGTGCATATGCCTATTCACGTGACACTTATTTCTCTATGATATATTCTTAGGAGAGGGATTCTGGATTGCATGGCATTTCTCCTTCTAGCTTTTTAAGGAGCCACCGTATCATTTTTCATAGTGACTGTACATTTTACATTCCCACCAGCAGTGCAAAACAGTTCCTAGCTCCCTGCAACCTCTCTAACATTTGTTATTTTCTTTTTTTTTGATTAGTGCTGGTAATGACGATGTGAGATGGCATCTCATTGTAGTTTGATTTGCATTTCTCTAGTGGCTAATGATCGTGAGCATTTCAAGTGTTTGTTATTCGTTTGAATGCCTTCTTTGGTGGAACAGATTATTTGTCTTTTTGTTGCTGAGATGTTGAAGTATTCTATAGATTTTAGAGATTAGACCCTTGCCAGATATGTCATAGCCAAAAATTTTTTTCCAAGTCTTTAAGTTCTCTTTTTTACTCTTTTGGTGAAGTCTTTTGATGAGCATAAGTGCTTAATTTTTAGGAGCTCCCAGTTATCTAGTTTATCTTCTGGTGTTTGTGCATTGTTAGTTATGGTTTGCGCTTGTATTTATGCCATGTATTAGGGCCCCTAGCATTGTCCCTATTTGTTCTTCCGTGATCTTTAACGTTTTAGGTTTTATATTTAGTCTTTGATTCATTTTGAGTTAGTTTTTGTATATGGTGTGAGGTATGGGTTCTGTTTCATTTTTTTACAGAAGGACATCCAGTTTTGCCAGCATCATTTGTTAAAAAGACTGTCTTTTCCCCCATTTAATGGGCATCGGTCCCTTGTCAAATGTCAGCTGACCACAGGTGGATGGATTTACGTCTGGGTTCTCAATTCTGTACCACTGGTCTATGTTCTGTTGTTGTACCAGTGCCAGGCTGTTTTGACTACTGTGGCTGTATACTAGGTTCTGAGATCAAGCAGTGTGAGGCCTGCTACTTTGTTCATTTTCTTCAATAACACTTTGCTTATCTGGGGTCTCTTTCCTTTTCATATAAAGTTGGTGATTAG